TGTCGTTGCTCGAGAGGCGCAACAGGTTCGGGTATGCGCCCACGTTCGCCAAGATCGGAGCCGTCGACGACGGCGAGAGCACGACGGTAGAGATGTCGGGTCCAGCGCGCCACTCGGTGGCTGTCACAGCGGCCACGTTATCCGAACAGAACGGGCCGATGGTGGCGACCACTCCATTCAAGTCGGAATCCAGCTGCTCGAACTGGCTTCGAATGGCCTCAGTCTCGGAACAGCCTTCCCATATCTGAACCATAGAGTAGAAGAGCCTGTGATCCGGAAGTAAGTCGTCGAGGAAGCCGTCCTTCTTGTCATTGATGCGGTCAATGATGTGCATCACATGCTGGCATTGCTCGTATAGGAAGAACCTTGGCGATTTATTACAAAAGACTCCGACGCGCAGCGTATCGCCCACGAGCTGTGGCGGCTTGCTGTTGTCGGGCGTTGGCCTCGTCAGCGCCTGACCGTTGCCGGCAAAGCTCTGCTCCCAGTTGTCGGCCGGCTGCCAGGTGCCCAGCTTGACCCACGCGCCGGATGCGTTCGCGTTCATTACGTCGTAAAGGACGCCATCCGCGCGGTCGCCGAGGGTGGCCGGCTCGGACGAGAAGGAGATGTTGCCCGTCACGCCCTCGAACTGGACGGAGAGAAGGGCCGCCATCAGCGCGTCGCCGTCAACATGCTGAACGTGCGGGTCGTCCACCAGCGCTTGGACTGCGTGCGCCACAGCGTACACAGCGTCGTAAGCTCTCGGGGCGTAGGCGCTCTCGGGAAACTGATTGTTGGCACCGAAGCAGCGTGGCGCCATGGTATCCTCATCGGTATCAACTGACCAGAGTTTGTGCCCCTCGTCGTCCTCTGCCGGGTCGCAATTTGTCCCGTCGCCGAGCGTGGATGGCCGCGCGCGCTTGCGGGAGGCGTAGCCGTCGTACGCCACGCTTGGCACGATTGAGTTTGTGATCGCGAGCATTCCGCGGAAATCGTCCACGGGTAGGCCACGGCCGGCCAGCGAGCCCAGCCCTTCGAATAGACCGATCAAGCCAACCCAGGTGAATTCAGGGCCGACGAGCCGTGCACCGAGGGCTT